TTCCACCCCTGCACGGTCTAATAACTTCTACTTTTGTATCTTTTGGGGCTCCCGGCCTCCTCCCTGTCATGGCCTCCCCTGCCCCACCCAGACGCAGCTGGGCAGGGGAGAGGTCCAGACTCCACTCACCAGCGCTGGATTCCAAAGAGGAAGTCTCTCTGGGAATCTCCTGCTTTTAACCCCTGTGTGTTCTCAGAGGCGTATCCAAACCTCAGTGGCCACCACAAGTGCCAATTTCAGATCTGGCCACTGATTGGTTTGACCTAGACTTTTCCAGAAACACACTTCCGGGTCAAACCACGACATGGCCCCAGATGTCCCCCGTGTGTGTCACCGCCAGTGTCACCCCGTGTTCACCGTGCCAACGTCCTCGATGTCCCCTTGATGTCCCCCAGTGTCCCATGTCCTTGGTGTCCCCAATGCCGCATTGTCCCCAATGTCCTCAATATCCCCCCAGTGTCCCCAATGCCGCATTGTCCCCAGTGTCCCCCCAATGTTCCTCCAGTGTTCCCCAAATGTCCCCGATGTCCTCAATGTCCCCCAAATGTCCCTGATGTCCCCCATATCCCCTTACCCTCAATGTCCCCAGTGTCCCCCCAGTGTCCCTCCATTATCCCAATTGTCCCCGATGTCCCCAATGTCCCCTTGTCCCCCCATTGTCCCCATGCCCCCCCAGCCCCTCAATGTCCCCCCATGTCCCCAGTGTCCCCTACCCTCAATGGGAGGGGTCCTCCCGGCCGCTAGGGGGCGCTGCTGGGACTGGAACCCTGCTGGCTGCTAGGGGGCGCTGTACCGCCTTGGTCCTCCCGGCCACTAGGGGGAACTGTGGGCGTGGAACCACCTCGGTCCTCCCGGCCGCTAGGGGTGCCGCTGGCACTGGACGGCCTCGCTCCTCCCAGCTGCTAGGGGGCGCTGTGAGCATGGACAGCCTTGATTCTCCCAGCCACTAGGGGGCACTACAAGCGCGGAACTGCCTTGGTCCTCCCAGCCGCTAGGGGGTGCTGCAGACAGGGACCTGCCATGGTCCTCCCAGCCACCAGGGGGCGCCACTGACGCGGCCCTTTTCCTTGGTCCTCCCAGCCGCCGGGGGGCGCCATGGAGGTGTCGCTGCAGCTGCCGCCGCTCTCGGTGTCTGACGACGGCTCCTTCGTCTGCTCCGTGACCACGCCCCATGGGCAGGTGCAGCAGGTGCTGCGGATGAACGTGATTGGTCAGTGCCACGGGGGGCTGGGGGCGGTGCGAGGGCTCCCAGTATATCCCAGTATGTCCCAGTGCCCCTCTCTGTGCCCACACTGGGCTGGCAGAGCTCTGGAGTCAGCATGGATGGGCTCCCAGTATGTCCCAGTATGTCCCAGTGCCCCTCTCTGTGCCCACACTGGGCTGGCAGAGCTCTGGGGTCAGTATGGACGGGCTCCCAGTATATCCCAGTATATCCCAGTGCCCCTCTCTGTGCCCACACTGGGCTGGCAGAGCTCTGGAGTCAGCATGGATGGGCTCCCAGTATGTCCCAGTATGTCCCAGTGCCCCACAAATGGCGCTGCTGGGATGGGGGGGTTCAGATGTGTGCACATGATCCGTACTGGGCTGTACTGGATCCCACCCAGAGCCCATTAATGGCTCCCAGTCCCTCCCAGTCTGTCCCAGTGCCCCCAGCTCACTGTTCCTCTGTCCCTCTGTCCCCAGGTGTCCCTGCTGCTGTCCCTGCTGTCCCTGGGGCTCTCGGCCGATCTCCCAGTCCATTCCAGTCCCTCCCAGTTCCCTCTCAGTCCCTCCCAGTCCATTCCCAGTCCCTCCCAGAGCCCCCAGCTCACTGTTCCCATGTCCCCGTGGCACCCGGGGACACCTCTGGGGACACCTACAGCTGCCTGGTGACACACGCGGCGTGGGACAGGTCACACAGGGTCAGCGTGGAGGTGACAGGTGAGGGGACATCAGGGACAGGGTTGGGGACACTGGGGACAGCGGGGGACAGCTCCAGCTGCCTGGTGACGCGCGGCCTGGGACGTGCCACACAGGATCACTGCGCAGGTGACAGGTGAGGGGACAGCTGGGGACATCAGGGACAGGGTTTGGGTCATTGGGGACATCAGGGATGGGATTTGGGGACATCAGGGACAGGGTTTGGGGACAGCTGCAGCTGCCTGGTGACACACGTGGCGTGGGACAGGCCACACAGGGTCAGCGTGGAGGTGACAGGTGAGGGGACAGCTGGGGACAGGGGTTGGGGACACCTGGGGACATCGAGGGTGGGGTTAGGGACATCAGGAATGGGCTTGGGGACACCAAAAACAGGGTTGGGGACACCTGGGATGGAGTTGGGGACACCAGGAGCAGGGTTGGGGACACCTGGGGACATTGGGGACAGGGTTGGGGACATCAGGAATGGGCTTGGGGACAGCTGGGATGGGGCTGGGGACACAGGGACAGGGTTGGGGACATCAGGGACAGGGTTAGGGACACTGGGGACAGGGTCATTGGGGACAGCTGCAGCTGCCTGGTGACACACGCGGCCTGGGACACGCCTGTCAGGGAAATGTCACCAAAACTCCCCAAAATCCCCAATCCCCTCAATGTCCCAAATGTCCCCAAAATGCCCAAATGTCCCCAGACCTCCCAAACGTCCTCAATGTCCCCAAACCTTCCCAATGTCCCCAAATGTCCCCAAATCTCTCCAATGTCCCCAATGTCACCAAATGTCCCCAAAGTCCTCAAAGTCCCCAAATGTCCCTAAATGTCCTCAAAGTCCCCAAATGTTCCCAATCCCCAATGATGTCCCCAATGTCCTCAATCCCCCCACTGTCCCCAAACCTTCCCGATGTCCCCGAAGTCCCCACATGTCCCCCTTCATCTCCATATTTGATGTCCCCAAGTGTCCCCTCCTCTCCCATGGGACACCTGCCATGTCCCCAACCCCCAAAAACGGCCCCAAAGTCCCCAAAAAATGTCCCCAAAGCCCCCCAAAGTTCCCAATCCCCAATGTCCCCAAGTGTCCCCAAATGTCCCCAGAACTCCCCAATGTCCCCAAGCCCCCCAAATAAAGGTATTTTTTAAGTATTTATTTTTAAAAGAATTCTTTTCAAATAATTAATTTCAAATTATTAATGTCAAATTATTCTTTTCCAATCATTATTTTCAATTTGTTAATGTCAAATTATTAATGTCAAATTATTAATTTCAAATTGTTTTCAAATTATTAATTTCAAATTACTATTTTCAAATTATTAATTTCAAATTATTGTTTTCAAATTATTAATTTCAAATTACTATTTTCAAATTATTAATTTCAAATTATTGTTTTCAAATTATTAATTTCAACTTATTAATGTCAAATTATTAATTTCTAATTATTGTTTTCAAATTATTCATGTCAAGTTATTAACTTCAAATTATTATTTTCAAATTATTAATGTCAAATTATTAATTTAAAATTATTCATTTCAAATTGTTAATTTCAAATTATTAACTTCAAATCATGTCAAATTATTAATTTCAAATCATTATTTTAATTTTATTAATGTCAAGTTATCAATGTCAAATTATTATTTTCAAATTATTAATGTCAAATTATTAATTTAAAATTATTCATTTCAAATTGTTAATTTCAAATTATTAACTTCAAATCATGTCAAATTATTAATTTCAAATCATTATTTTAATTTTATTAATGTCAAGTTATCAATGTCAAATTATTATTTTCAAATTATTAATGTCAAATTATTAATTTAAAATTATTCATTTCAAATTGTTAATTTCAAATTAAGTCCTCAAAGTCCCCAAATGTCCCTAAATGTCCTCAAAGTCCCCAAATGTTCCCAATCCCCAATGATGTCCCCAATGTCCTCAATCCCCCCACTGTCCCCAAACCTTCCCGATGTCCCCGAAGTCCCCACATGTCCCCCTTCATCTCCATATTTGATGTCCCCAAGTGTCCCCTCCTCTCCCATGGGACACCTGCCATGTCCCCAACCCCCAAAAACGGCCCCAAAGTCCCCAAAAAATGTCCCCAAAGCCCCCCAAAGTTCCCAATCCCCAATGTCCCCAAGTGTCCCCAAATGTCCCCAGAACTCCCCAATGTCCCCAAGCCCCCCAAATAAAGGTATTTTTTAAGTATTTATTTTTAAAAGAATTCTTTTCAAATAATTAATTTCAAATTATTAATGTCAAATTATTCTTTTCCAATCATTATTTTCAATTTGTTAATGTCAAATTATTAATGTCAAATTATTAATTTCAAATTGTTTTCAAATTATTAATTTCAAATTACTATTTTCAAATTATTAATTTCAAATTATTGTTTTCAAATTATTAATTTCAACTTATTAATGTCAAATTATTAATTTCTAATTATTGTTTTCAAATTATTCATGTCAAGTTATTAACTTCAAATTATTATTTTCAAATTATTAATGTCAAATTATTAATTTAAAATTATTCATTTCAAATTGTTAATTTCAAATTATTAACTTCAAATCATGTCAAATTATTAATTTCAAATCATTATTTTAATTTTATTAATGTCAAGTTATCAATGTCAAATTATTATTTTCAAATTATTAATGTCAAATTATTAATTTAAAATTATTCATTTCAAATTGTTAATTTCAAATTATTAACTTCAAATCATGTCAAATTATTAATTTCAAATCATTATTTTAATTTTATTAATGTCAAGTTATCAATGTCAAATTATTATTTTCAAATTATTAATGTCAAGTTAATAATGTTAAATTATTATTTTCAAATTATTAATGTGAAATTGTTAATTTAAAATTATTAATTTAAAAATACGTCAAATTATTAATTTCAAATTATTACTTTCAAATTATTAATGTCAAAATATTATTTTAAAATATTAATATTAATATTAATGTCAAATTATTATTCCCAAATTACTAAAGAATGTATTATCAAGTGAAAATTATTTAAATTATTAAATATTTAAATTAAATATTAAAATTACTCATTATAACGAATTTAATCTTTTCAAATATAATTTCAGAAATTATTTCTTTTAACATGATTCATTTTTAAAATATTGATTTTTGATCTCAATCCCGGCTCGCTGCCACCCCCGAGCCCTGCTGCAACGGGCAAAAACTACAAAATAATTATAAAACACCGGATAATTATAATAATTCCATTAACGATCGGAAATATTTCTAATTAAAATGATTCCGTTTTAATTCTATTTCACCAATAACACAAAGTATTTCCACCCAACGGGGCTGCTCTGAAAGCAAAGCCGCTGAGAGCCTCCAAACGAGAAACAGAATTTATCAGAAAAAGGGAAAAAAACCCCAAATATTTGAAATAATTAAAAAAATAAATAAATAAATTAATTCAGAAACCGAGTCAGAATGCTGTGCTTCCGCCGGAAGTTGCCGCTGACGCCGCTGCGGGAAGAACTTCCGCCAGTACTTCCGCCAGTACTTGCGCCAGGCGCGGCTCCTGATTGGCGCGGTCCTGCCGCCATCTTGGCCGGCAGCAATCCGCCCCTCTGTAGTTCGGGGCCTTTCCGCGTGTGCCGCTCCCGGGCATCATCCTCCGGCACCGGAGCGTCCCCAGGGCGTCCCCCGTGAGCATGGAGCCCCGAGAGGTGCGACAGGGGGGACACGGTGGGGCAGGGGGGACACGGTGGGGCAGGGGACACGGTGGGGCAGGGGGGACACACGGTGGGGAAGGGGACACAGTGGGGCAGAGGACACACAGTGGGGCAGAGGACACACAGTGGGGCAGGGGACCCGGGAGCTGGCGGGGAGTGCAGAGGGGACTGCGGGCAAGTGGCAGGGGCTACGAGGGGGGTGCACAAGGGACAGCAGAGGGGACAGGGAAGTAGCACGGGCTACGAGGGGGGTGGCACATGGGGGCAGAGGGAACAAGGGAGGGACAGAGGGGAGAGCAGAGCGCTCCAGGGAGGCGACAAAGCAGACCCTGGGAGGGTGCAGGGGCCACCCCTGGACGCCACAAGTGCCACCAGGTCCCTGACACCTCCCCTTCCCCTTCCCCAGCTGCTGGAGCTGCTGGTGGCCGTGGTGGCCATCTTGGGCGAGCTGGTGACCACTGTGGCAGGGCCGAACAGGGACGTGATGCTGGCCGTGTCCCGAGGGTCCCTGTGCAGGGCCCTGAGCAATTTCACTCTGCACCTCCAGAACACCCTCTGCCACCACCATGGCACCTCCCTGGGCCCCAGCAGACTCAAGCCCTGGTGGCAAGGCCGTGGTGCCTACCTGGACTTCTTCCATGACCCCGCCGCGGACGACCGCAGTGTCATGTTCCTGGGCCACCGCATCATCACCTCCCTGGGCCAGGCCCTGGCCAACCTCGGGGCCACCCCTGGGACCACCTGGGCCGATGTCAGAGCCGCGGCCAGCAACTGGCGGGAGCTGGTGGACACCCTCATGGAGAGCTGGTCCCGGCTGGCCGAGGAGGCCACCAGGCTCCGCTTCAGCTGGGAGGACGCGGCCACCAGGAGGGGACTGCGGGCGGAGGTGGCCCTGGGGCTGCTGGAGCGCTTGGCGGCCGCGTGTGACAGAGCCGTGGCGTACCCCCGGGAGCTGCGGCGCCGGGTTGCGGAGATCGAGACCGCCCTGGAGCTGACAACGGAGCCATGCCCTGATTTCCGCGCAGCTTTGGAGGCTGCGGTGGCCGAGGCCGAGCAGCTGTGGGATGCCAGCGCCCTCCTGTTCAGTGATCAGCTGCAGGGGATACTTCGTGACCTCCACAATCTTCTCTCACAAGCCCACGGCGGCCACGGTTACCCCGGTGGCCCCAGCAGCAGTGCAGTGGCCCAGCGGTGCCAAGAGGCCACCGACGATGTCCCGAGGCTGCTGCAGGCGCGGAGTCGGGACTCCCACGTCATCGTCGTCGAGCTGGTGTCACCTCTGCAGAGATTCATGGACACTGTCAGGTCACTTTGGGAACGCGTGCGGCGGCAGGGGCTGAATGAGCTGCGCTGAGCCCTGACCCCAGCCCCCCAAAAACCACACCAGCACCTCGTGTCCCCCTGAACCCCCTGGAGCCCAGCCCCCCAAAAACCACACCCGCACCTCCTTGTGTCCCCCTGAACCCCCTGGAGCCCAGACCCCCAAAAACCACACCAGCACCTCCTTGTGTCCCCCTGAACCCCCTGGAGCCCAGACCCCCAAAAACCACACCAGCACCTCCTTGTGTCCCCCTGAACCCCCTGGAGCACACCCGCACCTCCTTGTGTCCCCCCCGAACCCCCTGGAGCACTGGCCCCCCTCACCGGGAAGTGGCACTGGGCCCTCCTTCGTGTAGCGACCCCCCAGCACCGGGCCCGGGCCCCCTTTGTGCGCTGCGGGGAGCTCTGAGAACGCCCCCGGCCCTCCAGACGCCTGAGCCCGGACGATGCCAGCACAGCCTCACCCGACGGACGAGGGCACTCCTCGCAGGGCAGATCCAGCAGGGTTTCTTGAGAGAAGAAACCCAAGGGTACGGCCGGGGTGAGGAGAAAAGCGAGCACGTAAAAAAAGCCTCCTTCGCTGCCAGGAATGCGGGGCAAGGAGCCAGAAATAGCGCAGGGGCCAGGGCGCATAACCGGGGCAAGGAAGGAGGAGCCGGGGTGCGAATCCTCCAACCGGGAAGGGAGGCAGGGGAGGAGTTGAGGTGTGGTGACGCGGGACACACCAATGGGGACACAGTGGGAGCGGTTACTCGGGGAAAACCAGTGGGAGCAGGGCCGCAGAACGTTCTGGAACGGGGTGGGACGGGCAGCCCTGGGCTGCTGGCAGTGCGTCTGTGTTGGCTGGGGGGGCACAGGGGGGTCCCCAGTGCTTGGGGGTCCCTTGGGGCTCGGTCCTGTGACCCCCCCCCCTTTTTATTAGCTGGGGCCCCCCCGGTGAGAGACACTGGTCAGAATTGGAATTTTTATAAAAGTTTGTAAAGGGATAAAGTCCAGCACTGGCTGCTTGATGATTTCCCAAAAGCTGATCTCAAACACTGTTACATGGCAGTGGTGCGTGCATATTCATAAGGTTATCTGCATATTCATAATGGCTTGTTATTCACAATGGTTTGTGCATATTCATAATCAGTTCTGTTCACTGTCGTTATTGATGAGGGGAGGAGGGCATTGAGTCTTTCGTTAGTAATATAATACATATAAAAGTACATTTATCATAAAATCCAAGATATTATATATTACACTGCAATTTATAAAAGCTAAGGTAGTATTGAGACATAAACTTTAAGTGTGGAGGACTTTGCGAACAGCTGGCTAGCTGACAAAGGTCACACTGACATAACACCGTTAGTTAAGGAAGAAGGAGACAGGTATAGGAGCCAGCAGTCAGTGTCTATATCAGGCAAGGGCACTGTGCCCTTGGTGCAACATCAGGATGGGGGAGAGGATCGTTAGGTAGAAATATGAAGAAAAGATGAGAACAGCTACAACATAGTAGCCGCAAGAATGCTAAGGTAGGTGTAGTTAGCTGATAACTAACTAACCAATAATGAGCTCGCCTTTTGCAATATGTATTAGCCTCATTAACACTAATATAAATTATGTGCCTATCAATAAAGTTCTGAGATTGCTGATCACTCATATTGCGTGCCGCATTTCTCCCGCTGATTGCCGCATTTAAGGAATCAGGAATTTTAGAGGAGCTAGGATTTTAGTTAGAGGTAAGCTTTATTTGGGTTAATTGAAATGAATGGCTAGGCCTTATTGAAGTTAAGAGTTAATAGTTAACCAATAATTGGTTGCTTGTCAACACAATGTTTGGTTAATAATGAAGAATATAGAAACTGATAACTTGTAGGAACATAAAGCAATTGTGGGCCTCCTCTGTTCTGGGACCAATTGGAAACAGGGAATGGGAGCTCTGCCAAGGGTTCGTTTGTCACATTTGCACTGAAAAGGCAGAAAGGTCAGAACGAAGAAGACTTCTCCATTTACTTCCTCATTTTAGGACCCCTCCCCATGAAAAGGACCACTGAGCCATTTCCAGGAACAAACCACGCATGCTTAATGGCTTTTGAACTAATTAGCACATGAAGGGGATGGGGAAGTGCCAAAGCTATGACTATTTATTTGTATTTTGTGTATTCAATACTTGTAGAGATAAAAGGACCCTGAAATCACCTGTAAATTTCTGTGTGTATTTGGGAGCTATCCCACAATAAACCTACACTTTTTAACTTTAAACTGTTAAGAGTCTTTGTCCATCACAGTTGGATATCAGTGTTAGATCAATATCCATACTTTTTCTATAAATCAGTATATATTACTGTACTAATGTAGAAACATGTATATTGTATATGCATATATAATACATAGGTATTATGTATATTACTAGAATCTAAGGCAGTAAATATTACACTCCTATTTATAAAAGCTACACGGCGCTCACACGCGCTGGCAGACCAAAAGTAGTAATTACAAATTGCACCAGATCAGGATTTGGTCATCGATAACAGCTGGCAAAACAAACGTTAATACATCAGTGGCAAAGCCAGCAACGGTATTCGTTATTTACAACACCCCCTTATCACCAGGGCCCCCCCCTGCCCCGATGTCTCCATTCCAGGGTCACCAGATGTGTCCCAGTGCCACCAGTTCCACCCCAGTGCCACCGGCCCAGTGTCGCCAGTCCCTTCCTGATGTCTCCATCCCCGTGTCCCCTCCCAGTGTCCCCAATCCTGTTCCAGTATCCCCGTCCCAGTATCCCTGTCCCAGTGCCACCAGTCCCCTCTCACTGTCCCCAGTTCCATCCCAGTGCCACCAGTTCCATCTCAGTGCCACCAGTTCTGTCCCATTGTCACCACCCCAGTGTCCCCAGGGCTGGGTGTGCCCAGTGCCACCAACCCACTGTCATCATTCCAGTGCCACCATCCCTGTGTCCCCAGTTCCAGCCCAGTGCCACCAGTTCTGTCCCACTGTCACCATCCAGTGCCACCAGTTCAATCTCACCAACCCAGTTCCAGCCCAGTGTCCCCAGTCCTGTCCCAGTGCCACCAGTCCAGTGCTCCCAGTTCCATCCCAGTGCTCCCAGTGCCAGCACCTCATTATCCCCATACCAATGTCACCAGCCCAATGCCACCAGTTCCATCCCAGTGTCCCCAGTCCCATCCCAATGCCACTATCCCAGCTTATCTGTGACCAGTCCCTCCTGATGCCCCCATCCCAGTGCCACCAGTCCCCTCCCATTGTCCCCAGTTCCATCCCAGTGCCACCACCCCTCTGTCCCCAGGGCTGTCCCAGTGCCACCACCTCTGTCTCATCTTTCCAGTGCCACCAGTTCAGTCCCACTCTCACCAGTGTTTTTGGGGGTTTTGGGGGGTCCCAGATGAAGTCTTTGGGGATCCTTGGGGGCTTTGGGGAGATCCTGGA